GGCGCCGCCGAACCCATGGGCATGGCCGGGGCAACACCTGAAGATGTTCTTAAGGTTGCCTGTAGCACGTACCCCCTAGGGCGAACGCTTGCACTAGACGCGATGCGCGAGAGGGAGTTCAGCCTCTCGCAGCTGCAAAAAGGCGGTGTGGAACGGTTGAACCTCGGTAGTCCCTTCAAGGGAAAGACAAACTACGCCACCGTATACGTGTTTTTGGACCGGGCGGCAGCGAACCGAATGGTGGACATGTGGGCGAAAGTCATCGGCGTAGGGGTCCAGCTGTGTGGTGCTTACCGGAAAAATATCAACTAACACGACTTCGGAGATCGTCGTTTCCTGAGGTTGGTGATTTCTGGCGAGGGTGGGTGGCAATCAGCTGCAAAGTACGGCAAGGGTCTGATCATTCCACCGACGGAGGAGAGAGCAAAAAAGCCTCGCCAGAAGAACGGAAGGGTCGTAAACGACGGACCCGCCTGGTTAGTACCGGCGGGGCTGGTCTTGGCGGGTGGTGGGGCACTGAAGACAGTCACATGGGAAACGTACATATGGCGAAGAGGCGACGAGCACAGACCTTCGCGGGAGCTACATGAGGCCATCCTACCGCTCGGGTTCCTAGGGGGTCTAGCTTTCAGCCGGGGATCCATCAGCCTGAACCAGAAGATAGGTGGTACCTTCACCGACGACGACAGGGAGACGGGAGGTATGCAGCATGACTCGACGAGTTAGTCTGTAGTTTTGTTGTTGTTGTTGTTGTTGTTGTTGTTGTTGTTGTTGTTGTTGTTGTTGTTGTTGTTGTTGTTGTTGTTGTTTTTGCTACCCCATTGCTTATTGGCCATCTTATTATTTTACCGTGGCAACGAATGTTGTCGCAGGGCGGAATGGCCTGACCGCATGAGAGTGGGCGAACCCCTCCACGTTTCGCTTCACCCCTCCACACAGGCAAGGCCAGCTACACGGCCGAGCAGAGGGGCTCGGACAAATCAACCACGGAGCTGAAAAGCGAAGGAGGTAAGGGCTGGTATACATTGATTGACGAATGCTTTGTTGTTGTTTGTTGTTGCTGTCCTTGAAGGAAGATCGTTGGCGAGGTTGGTCTTGTTACTATCAAGGCGTGTAGCTGACCCTTTGAATAAATGCACCTAGTGCGGTTTCATGTGTCAGCTTTTCCATTCGTCTCATGTGCACCCGGCCTTCCGAATATGCCATGAGCGTATCCTCGACTTGACCGCCCGCGGCGTTGGGTGGGTCGTCATGAGCTGTTGTTGCCGCCAAAGCGTGCTATTTGATTTTTGGAATGAAAATTTGAAAGTCGATCGAACAGAACGCGATGCCATAAGAGCGAGCAACTGGTGCATGGTTGGATTGAGCCTATTCCCCCCGCCCGTCGTGTTCGTTGCAGGCAAAAACTCCGACAAGAAGCGAAGGAAAACACCTAACAAATTGAGTAGAGTGAAATAACTCCCCCGCCTGTTGTTGCAACAAAGTCCGCGCTTTTGAAGCGTCTCCACAAGTAGAACAAGCCCCCTTTCTGGTGGACGGCCCAATGGTCGAAAAGCAGCCGCTGACGATTAGGCTCGCATCCCGACATGTGTTCGCTCCTGGATGTCTCGTCGAACGTTCCATTCCGACCCGCTCCCGCCTTTCATGATACGATAGGTGCTTGGATCTCGGGCCCGCATCCCGACATGTGGTCTCTCTTGGATGTCTCGCCGCGCGCACGCTGTGTTGTTGTTGAGCCTACACAGGCAGAGCGCGAGGCTACGAGATTTCGAGCAACCACACCCGCGGAGGTGCAGGTGAACGCCGGAAGATCACCCTCACCCACGTTCTCCATCTACACCCGGAGTCGGTGGAGGACAACTTGAAGTCCTTCAAGTGCCCCAATGTTGGGTGCAACAACTTCGTTGCATTCTCTGACCAACGGCGGTGGCTCCGCGACCTGAAGACTCCTGGGCGATGGGTAGCGGTGGGACCCAGGTGCCGGAGGGGAACGTGCTCGGTGGAGATGGTGCCGTGCAAGGACGCAGAGGGGAAGGAGCGGTTCAGCGCCAAGGAGGAGAAGGAGCTGCAGCTTATCGGCAACAAAATCGCCACCAAGTGGGTGCAGGACAACCAGGCCACTACGAGGCGGAGGAGCGGTACCTGGAATACGGTTCCCAGACCGAGTCCGACGTAGATTTCCGCGAGGAGCAGACATGGGGACGCCCGGATTCCCTGTGGCGGTAGGGAGCGTCGTCATGTGGCCTGGTCAATCTGTAGGGCTAGATCTTGCGTGGGTTAGCATCGAGAAGCCTGGTAAGCATGGTGAAGACGACGGGCTGTGTCCGCGCTGTGTTGGCATTAGAGAGACGTCCGCAGCTTTCCAGAGTAGAACAGGAGATCATTTCTGTTTGGCACCATCACCCTCTTGACGAACTTGTATACTAATTGATGCCGGTGTCACCTTATCCAGAAAAACATGGTCGGACGGCATAGGGACGGAGTTCTTCCGTTACATAGTTCGAGTAGCAGATCCGCGTGTATATATCCTCACTGAGAGAGGTTGCTTTGGAGGTGGTATCAAGATAGGATGTGGATTTCAGGCGATCACACGCGATTGCAGATTGCTGTGACGTAAGTACCATCGTAGCCTTGGGCGGTGTGTTATCGGGTGCCCTGTGTTCTATGGCGTGCCTTATTCAGAGGAGCATGAATTGGACAGTTCGATACGAAAGTTGTATATAAGAGTCCTACAGGAGAAGGATTGTTGCCACGAAACCAGGAATTCAGCGACGGCGTGCGAGGTGACGATGATGTCCACAAAAAAAATGTACGTGTGCGTTCACACCAGGAAATCGAGAATGGCCCTCCCTGTACTCGTCGAAAAGTGATTTTGGTTGAAGTCACATTTATTTTTCCATTTAGATTTCAGATAGATTCAGTGTTTGTGTCCTCAATGGAGAATGGGTATTGAACGTGGATTTACGATCACCACCCGATTGGATGTGATCTGTCTTTGATTGTTGGTGGTTTTAGCGTTGGATTTCGATCTCTTCGATTGAAACGGTTGATCAAATCTTGTTTTGAACTTGTAGATTTGTCGCATACGCGGAGGGAAACAGTGATACATTCGGGAAACAATGCCGCTGCATTTGGCTTTGATTGGATCAAAAGCAATTGTGGTATCCCCCTTCCCCTTCAGTGTAGCATATACCTCGGTCCATACACCAACACAACCTTAGAACAGGATGGGAGACTGGCGGGCGGTGCGTACTCGTTGGGCGGAGTACACTTGTATCATCAGTGGGACGTGCGGACCCTTTTGAATTTCGTCGTTTGTTTTTAGGCGGTCACATGCGGTCACAGATCGTTATGAAGAACTGCTGGATGGAGGTGCGTTTGTGCGGGTGCCCTTTGTTATACGGCACGTGTCCAGGTCATCACAGAAGAAGAACTTGTTGCCACGAAGTATTCACTCCAAGCTGTGGTTTCGAAACTAGGATTTTGGCAGCTGCAAATAGTGTTGCTTGTTCACAAATATGTGTTGCCTGTTCTCACGGGGAAATCAAGAGGAACGAATGTGAAGGGCCTTTTTCGGGAGTTCGTTCTTGTGTGCGTGCGTGAGCCTGATCTCGTTCAAAAACATTTGGGTGATCACGGCGGGCGTCGTTGCCGCCACCTGATCAAGTACGTTCAGTTAGGAGCTTTCACACAGTCCCTAGGATTAGCTTTCACCGTGCCGTGTTTACGCAGGATTCAGGGGCGGAAGAAAGAACGTGTGTGTTTATGCAGTCTCAGGGGAATGAAAGTGTTTTTGTGAGTTTTTTGCAAAGCACTAGAAGAGGACGTTGGTAGCATAGCATGAAGTCACACCGTCCACTGCCTGAAATGATCACCCTGGATATATCTCTCACTTTCACAACCGCGCACTTGCGATGTAAGGCGGCGAACTCGGACCACCGCGTGCAACTTTTACCCATTCACCCAAATCAAACTCCTGCCCCGTGAACACGTTATGACTAATCACGACGTGGAACAAATCGCTGAATACACGGAACCCGACTTCTTCAGGAAGCAAATTTCTGGCGTACAAATTGACTGACTTACTAAATCTATGGTTTACCGGCGGGCGTTGGGCGGGATGTATCGTTCATTCCGCGCAACCGATTGACACCCCCCATAAAGTGTTCGTATTCGCTAAAAATGGTATCCGGCAGGTTCTTCCACCAACCTTGACATCTACCTCGTGAGTGCCGTGATTACTGGGCGAAAATAGGACAGCAGTAGCACCATTAAGTTCTGGCAGCGACCTCCCCGGTGCAAAAATGATAACGCGCACGCCAATTCGAAGTAGTGTGCTCTAGGATATCTAATGAGCGCTACCATGAGATCGATGAGATCGCTTGCGTTCACTCTGATGCTCTTAACGTACTTCGCTGCCAAGGCTTCTCGACGTCTTTTCCTTGGAAGGCTCTTTTCTTCGTGTGTGAGTTCCAGCTGAGAGACGTATGGTGGAAGAATATTTACCTTTCGCAGGAGCTCATCCATTCCGGCGACCCCAGTGAAGGACTTCTTCCGTGAGTGAACGGTATTTCGCGCTGCCCATTTGCCGAACAAATCCGAGTTCGCGAACGAAACTATACATTCCTCCGCCATTTTGAGCTGTTTCAAGCTGTATTTCTTCCTTGATTCACTTGAGGTTTTCTTGGCCAGCGACGACGCCTTCCTTTGTATGACTTTCAATATTCGGTTAATGTCCTTCCTGATGGTGCCATCGTTGTGGCCGGGGCCGTATACTTGCACCCATTCTCGCCATACGCGCCGGACATTTTTGTTGAGAGAGCCTGGATGCAGGGTTCTCAAGACTTCAAGAACCTGGGCCGGGTCTCTGTCGCCTTCTAGCCAAATCGCACACTTTGAAAAAAGATCGTTCATGCTGATTGAATTATTTGTATATACGCACCACATATATTATTTCCTGAGTTTCTTGGTTTAAGAGTTACCGGTCGACCACGGCACAATCAACTTATCTTCTTCTTTTCCGACTTCCCTCTCCCTAGGCCTCCTCTTGCTCTGTTGCACTTGAGGCACTTAACGTCCACGTTTCCGATGGTGTGGGGCAAAGAACAGTCAAGACGGTCAAGAGTCGGTTGGCGCTCGCTATTAATGGTCCAGATAAGTTCACGGTTGCACAAGTTACACCTCCCCCCATAGGAGCGGTGTAGTTCTTGGACGAGAGCTTCTCTATGCTGCCCCCCATCATCAGATTTTATACGCCCGGCCGCAACGTCGGCATAGATGTAGCTTGAAACCTTCCGAGTAACCCACGATACTCTCTCTCGATCGGACATGTTGCTTTCGCTCCGGTGAATATCGTCGATTACCCTCACGTTCGAGGGTCCGGTCGCTCGACTGACACCCGTGTACAGCCAGTGGACGTCAGCGTGACGGTGCCGGGCCTGATGTATGATCAACCTCCCTTCCACGGTACGGCCTTGGACCGCGTGTACTGTGCATGACCCTGGAGGATCAAAAACGTTTTCTGCCTCCGCTCGACAGAGTGAAGTTTCCTCAAGACTAGCACCATCGTCAAATGCACTCGCAACAACGACGGTATCTGCCGAGGATCCGATGACGTTGTACATGTGAATTTTGTGAACCTTGCCCGGGTTCCCGAGGTCCCGGTATTGCGCACCAACCGCCGTCTGACACCCCAGCCCATCCCAGTCCCCAGCTTCGTTGCACCCCAGCAAACCTCGAAAGGCGTGAAATCGAGCGCATTCTCTTGTATACACGAGGTGAAAATCTGAAGGGCTAGGATTTTCGATATGCTGCCCGCCAAACCTCTTGATGGCTCGAGAATGCGCCTCGTCACTGTCGTTTCCTGCGGCCAGAATGTGCAAGAGGCCGTCATCCATCTGCACCTGGTCTTCGATAGTTTTGTCTCGCCTGCGCGCGAAGACATAGAAGAACGTGGGGAAGGCTTTTTCGAGGATGACCTTCCTGTCGACGTTGTCCCTGCTAATCGACATGCCGCTGCTATCGCAAACGGGCTGGAGTTGATTCGTGTCGTATGTCCCGATCACGTGGGTACCGCTGCTATGGGCAGCCGCCAGGATCATGCTTAAGGTCCGGAGAGGCATATAAGCAGCTTCTTCGATGATGATTACGTCTACCTTGAGCGTTCGTATCGATCCCGCCGTCTTCTTCACGTAAGAATCATCACTCAGGTTGAATCCGAGCTGGCGGTCAGCGGTCTTTACACTCCAACCGGATGGCAGATTTGTGTAGGACGTGCGCAGGTTATTGGTGGGGGTCAAGACTAGTCCTGTTTCGAATGTGGCCGTAGCAGCGCGGATAGTACAGAAACGTTTCCCAGCCCCTCCATGTTCTCCGGTCACAGCACAGACGACCCTTGAACCTTGCGGAGTCAACAAGCAGCGGAATAAACTTTTAGTTTCGATGGTGACTCGGCCTCGCATATTTCCGGCGAAAGATCGCGCTTGGTGTTCCTGCCGAGACGACGCCAGGCATCGTGCGCGCCTTCCATCGAATGGAAGCTGGTGCCGATGCCATCCCACAGCGGGATCACTGAAAGCGGGGGCTTGAATGGGCAAGGAATTTTCCTCATTGCCGGAGGTAACGCATCTAGCGATAGCTTCACCACGATGCCTTCGAACACCCTCCTCTCCTCACACAGCGGGTTCTTCAACGCCGGTCCAAACTTGAGAGTACCGGGAGTTTCTTCGTCGCCGCTAAACAAATGGTCGAAGCGGAGTATCATCTTTTCTTGCACCGACGAAGATCCCTGAAGAATACCGCGTCACACTGGTAGCTCAAGTCGGACCCTCCGCATGATTCGAGAGCGTTCCTCGCCTCCAACACTCGCAATCGAGTTTCATCGAGGATGAGGATTCCTAACGCCCAGAAGCCATCTCTATACCAGGTCCGTTCTGCGTCGAAACAAATGTATGCATCATCGGTGCGAAGTGACTCGATTCCAAGGTCCCCTTGTCCCGTCCGAAGCTCGGCCTTGACGCGATCGACTTCGCACAGGACAAGGACGATTTCCACCCACAGCCGAAGCCTCGTCACTGCTCCNCCGCATGATTCGAGAGCGTTCCTCGCCTCCAACACTCGCAATCGAGTTTCATCGAGGATGAGGATTCCCAACGCCCAGAAGCCATCTCTATACCAGGTCCGTTCTGCGTCGAAACAAATGTATGCATCATCGGTGCGAAGTGACTCGATTCCAAGGTCCCCTTGTCCCGTCCGAAGCTCGGCCTTGACGCGATCGACTTCGCACAGGACAAGGACGATTTCCACCCACAGCCGAAGCCTCGTCACTGCTCCTAACCATGACGGCATCTATCCTGTCCGCGTATCTCTGCTGCAACATACCGCTGGCCCGCACGAATATTTCTTTCTTGAATCGGCGTGCACAGTCATCATCCTCGAGGAGGTGATCACCCAGCTCATGCGCGAGCAGGTCTTGAACAAGTTTCGGTATGTGGCACCTGCTGACCGTTCTGGATGGTCGCACGAAGTGGGTGACTCTATGGCGAGGCGCGTTGTCGATGAGGTCGAGGTAACGCTTGTAGTTTCGACCGAAGACGGGCGTCACATCCGCATTTAGGAATACGTCTGGCTCACCGAGCGCGTCCAGTTTAATTTATGTATTGCGTCCAATCCTCGATGTTGTGGCCATCGAACTCCTCCACCTCATCCATGTGGCCGAGAACGGGCACTGTCTCCATATTCATCAGAGCCGCCGTGTGTGCCCCATTGATGTCACATTGCCAGTCTTCCCTCCCGTAGGAACTCCCGGACGCGTCCTCTGCCCCGACCATCGGCCCCCGCCAGCACACCTCAAGGAGGGCGAATAGAGACTTGCTGTACTGGCTCGATACTCGAAAATCCAATACTCCGCGGCAGAACTTATGCAGCTCGATCAATCGTGTTGCCTGGTCGGGCTCGAAGTCATCGGGATCGAGCCCACCCATGCTCGCGCTGCACCAGGATCGGGTGATTATACCATGTGCCGGTAGCGACAGGGAGTCCCAGTGGCTATAGTTGGTTAGCCTGCTTATGCAAGAGACTCCAGCGAGGTGCAAATGGAGCATCAGCTCGTCGAGAGCCGTTCCTGGAGGCGCGTACCACGTCTTGCATTCTGATACCTTCCTCCCATGCTTCCGCTCTTTTTCCACTGGCTGTCGGTTATGGTCCTCCCTTGTTTGTTTGATGGCCATTATATCACTCACAATGTCAGCGACACACGAGAAGGTCTTGGCGCCAAAACCAGTCGTATCTGGTTCCTCTTCTTCCTCGGTCATCTCAGATATTCGGCGGAATTTACGGTACGTTCGTACGCGGTGTTCGATTGCCACGTCTAGAGACGATCCAAACCTGTCTCTCCAAGGCCCCTCGAGCACAAGCCGGTACACGTGTCCCTCACGCACCCCAACGTGTACTGTGGGCGGTCGGAGGTTCGTTTTCCCGTCGGATGGTCCAAGAGTATTGGCACCAGGGCCCCGATGTGACCCTACCACCACGCTGGCCTTGGTCATATACAGCCACTTTTCGAGATGGAGTAATGTCAAGGCGGGTGGTTCTGTATCCCCCGAAACCCATTTGTCGAACTCTACTTCCCCGATGTCTCGCTCCAGTAAAATCGAATAGAGGTTGCGGAAGTAGTTCCCACCGTCAAGAGCGTTCTTGTTTTGTACAGGCGCGCCCCTTTTTGGTCGACCACCACGAGATGAGATCATAAACGCACCCGTGGGATCTGCATCGCGGAATCCAAACCTTCTCCTCTCTCGTGCCTTTATCAGGTCGACTTGACTGTCACGCCAAGCGTCGGCGACGAGGACAGCGAGACTGGCTCCTGGGAGCTGTTCTTGCCATTTTTTGCCGAACGTGGTGACGGGGGCATATCTCACAACTCTGTGCCCGAAGGTCGCCATGTTAAGCTGTCTGAAAAAGGGCTCTGTGAGTCGACACCAGATCGGACCTGGAGGATCACAAGTGAGATCGGGATGCCCTGGATGTCGACGTCGATCCTCCTGCCAGCTGACGCCCAGCAGAGGATTACTCGCCAGGTATCGTCGGCCGCTGACACAACCAGCTGTCCATGGCCACCACCCCTCTACATCTACAAACGCTGTGCGCCAAGCCTCGGCGTCACGCGGGTAAACCATGTCTCTCTGCAGCACCGTCCTTGCCCAAATTTGAAAATTGTACAAGTTGGGATCTCCTCCGAGGGGGTGCGAGGNTTGCCATTTTTTGCCGAACGTGGTGACGGGGGCATATCTCACAACTCTGTGCCCGAAGGTCGCCATGTTAAGCTGTCTGAAAAAGGGCTCTGTGAGTCGACACCAGATCGGACCTGGAGGATCACAAGTGAGATCGGGATGCCCTGGATGTCGACGTCGATCCTCCTGCCAGCTGACGCCCAGCAGAGGATTACTCGCCAGGTATCGTCGGCCGCTGACACAACCAGCTGTCCATGGCCACCACCCCTCTACATCTACAAACGCTGTGCGCCAAGCCTCGGCGTCACGCGGGTAAACCATGTCTCTCTGCAGCACCGTCCTTGCCCAAATTTGAAAATTGTACAAGTTGGGATCTCCTCCGAGGGGGTGCGAGGTGAACCACCTGTGTCCCGGCCCAGGCGAGGAAGGGAAGGAGATACGAATCCTAAATCCCGTCCCGAAGACGGCCTGGCGCCTATAGGTGACCCCTCCAGGCCCCATGTACCACCACCCGTTGCTCCTGCCTGCGAGGGGCTCGGCCTGGTCTACCTGCTCCACATAGCACCACCGATAGCTGGTAGCATGTGATGACGATACAGCAGCAGCCGTGGTTGCCCGTGCCATTTTCTCTTTCAAATGAGCCAACATGATTTTTCTCTTTTTTTACCCGAAGCGTCAACCACGGTGGTGGCATGGTTGACTGATGACAGTATATCTGTCAGGTGATGGGTGACTGTCTGTCTGCCGGTATGTTGGAGACGCAAGTAAAATAAATGTAGAAAATACCCCTTGTCATGTGAGGGGGGGTATAGTTGTGAGCGTGTGTCGGTGTTTCCTACGGCGAATGTTTCCCGTCGAGGTTTGTCCCTGCCGTATGCCTCTCTTTTTTTTTTCCAAAGACCGTCCGTCGTCGTGTGGGTGTCGTCGTGTGGGCGCGACAAAAAAAAATCACAAGAAGATGGGCGGGGATGGTGTGTTCAACACCACCCAGCGTAGGGTGGATCGTAGCAGCCAGGAGTAAATGCGTTCGTCCAGGGAACGAATGACTGGCTGTATCCGTCCGGGTGGTCAGCGATTCCCGTGAAAGTCTGGCGTCATCATCATTCCAATCAGTCGTCCACGGCGAGTTTGAATTTTTTTAATTTTTTCAAGTGGTGACGTCATGACCGTGGCTGACGTCATCGGTCGACCATGGAATTTTCTGCACACAGGAAACTTCCATTCAAAAAATCTGCCAATCAGAAAACTGCGGGCACCTTCTACATATTGTAACCCGATGGAAATCACGATGCACAGCGTTCCAGGAAGTTACAGACTTCTGCATGCACTTTGATCCAAAACAATCCGTTCGACGTGCACAACATATGCGTGGTGGTTTACAACAACAGACCAGTTTATACAGTAGAAACTGCCGAAGTATGCCGTGTCTAAGGTGTCTGCCGTAGCCTTGGAAACCTGCACGCTAGACTTGGAGCCGGGCGTCACTTCTTCTGATAAACCTTGCCGCCGATCATCTTAAACGCTGGTCTCCCGTGGACCATGGTGTCCCTCGCAAAAAGCTGTCCACAGTTGGGACACTCCAGCTTTCCGTCTGTGAAATCTTCCACGATGCGCTCCTTGTAGCACTTTACCAGGGATCCTTTCCCTCCCTTCTTGTATCTGAGTGATGAAACAGTTTGAAAAACAACGATCACATGTACATGAACAATCGAACTGCCAAGGGGGGACACCGGAAACAAAACGTGTCCCTTGCCAATGGGAAACACAACATCTTGTTAACACGAGCAGCCATGAGCAGGCACTTTCCCGGTGGTGTATTCAACACTACGGAATTCTGACAAATCATCCCGCGCAAATGCCGCTCAACAGGCCTACAACGAAACTTGGAGGTAGGACTAGGGTTGAAACTTGAGTCTAACCGGAACCTTCGCAAAGCTGGGTGTCTCCACCTGTCCCCAAACCGACTTCGAAAAATACGGCATCCTGTGCGCGGTCTTGAAGGGAGTAGACACACAGATACGATGCCTGCGCACCTCATTCCACATCCCTTGGATATCGAAGTTTCCCAGTTCAGGATACAACCGGTGCGCATGAAGCAGATCTCTCCGAACAAGGTTTTCGTGTGATTGAGAGCGAGATTGCGCGATTCGCTGTAGCTGGACTACCGCTGCGAGGTGGAGCTTGCTGCGTGACTTGGATTGAAGGCCTATCCCGTAGCTACAAGCCGATAGCCTGGTCATCCTGTGGGCGTCTCTCGTTGTGGAGCTACAGCGGGGAGCAGAATCTACAGCAGAGCTCACCGCCCGCGATCAAATCGCCCTGAAACAGTTTGAGGCAGGAATAGCCATCTGGGGAAATCTAGCAACTTGTCTAGCTCCTAGCTGCAGCATCCGATCGCGATGACACGCATATGCTCGTGACGCTGCTGATGAGACCTTCAATTTGCGCCGCTTCTTGGAAGAGCCCGCCCCCTACTTCCCAAGAAATGGTCAGAGGCGTCTGGACCCGAAATTTAATTTTTTTGGGCTCCCGCTCTCAATCGTATACTCCGCTCTCAATCAGGCGAAAACCCTGTTTCCGATAGGATTTAGGACTGAGGTGCTTCGTGTGATTTGTGCTCGTCTCGATGACTGACCTAGGACATGACACGACGGTGGTAACATGACGAATTCCTTCCAACACAAGTTTGTAAGCCTGCGTCGCCTACGTTCAAGCCAAACGATACAATGTACCTTTCTCTTGACCTATACATGTGTATCTGCAACCACTGTTGCAACACCAACGCCAAGCACGTACATCATCTACAGAAACACACACACGACGGCTCCGCGCTACTTTTTCCCCAGCCAGTTTTTTACCATACACGAAGATAGATGAGCTCATATTCTCCTGAAATCACCACGTGCACCATTGGCATGAGACATACCAATCCTGCACATGCTCAACAGCGAACATTTTATGCACAATATATAATATTCTATTCTCAAGGACCTCAAACCAGGTCAACCTCGCTTCCACCTGCTACATCACCATCGAGGGACAGATGGACGCCCAAGATTGTCACCAACTCGTCTCATAGAGCTTGTTACCCACAGCAGGTCTATCGTGGATCAGTAGAAACACAGTAGGTCACGCAATACTATGGCTCCGTCGCGAATACATCCTGGGCTATGTGCTGTGGAGGATGAACAAAAACACGGATTGTTTCGGCCCGCAGGTTGAAAGCAACAAGCAATCTCTTGCGTGCTCGATTGCAATCTGACCAGGGCGTCTTTGGCCGTCGAACCACAGAAGAAAAATCGGGAAAACCGAGCTACGGCAGCCCGTCACTTCCTGATACGAGAGTTTTGAGTCTAGCGGTGGCACACAATGACCATCCCTGCCGAGCTGGTTCTCGGACGAAGAGAAACGCCGTCACGACTTTGCCGTCGGCATCAACCCTCCAGAAGAAGGATACGTCTTCCAGCGCCATGATGACATACCCAAAAGCCCACCGCAGAAAATGAGAGCGGCTGTATCTCGGAGAAGGAGATGGGGCGTTCCAAAGTGTTCCTCTTAGCCCAGCACATAAAGCGGAGACTTGACGCCAGAACACACTCACCTGTAGAGCTGAGTCCGGCACTTTTGGCAGAAGACGTCCACCGATCGCTCGGGTAGCTTTTTCCTAGGCTGCGCCATCGTTACCACGCCCTTGGCGAAAGCGCAGGAAAGAAAATGGGGCCGGATTTTTTTGCCGGACAAAAAACTCGATTTCATGAAACACAACTCAGTGGGAAAGAACGAACGCCTGTGCACTGTGATAGCTGGTTGTGCCAACGAGGGGTAGAGGGAACTAACTGGTTGCATGGCTTGGGTTGCCCTGGACGCGGCATGGTGGCACGAGTCACGTATTATGCAATCACGGGGGCAGTACTAGCCTAGATGAGAGAGAGCCTGTTGTTGTGATGACGAACACAAGATAACAACAGAGCATCTACGATCCACACCTGTCGATCAACACTTGCTCGCACCACCGCGATGCGCTCCGCAATGCTTCTGACGCTACGACGATCCCTTGTGGTTAGAGAGGTGAATGGCATCCTTCCCACGAAGAGTGTTGCTCTCCCTTTGCTGCCGATCCAGCCCATTCTGCCGAAAATGTCTGCTGCCGTGCCATGCAACCTCTTTGAGCTCGTTGGACTGCGCGATGGTGACCGGTTCATTGACGCCGATGATGACGGTTTTGCAAGTGGTGGCCGGCTCGCTTGCTGCAGAGCTCCGAGCATGTTACCGCAATCCAACAGCTGGCGGGGTTTCAGCGTCCATCTGGCCAGGAAACAGGACGTGGACGGATTCAGAGGAGGTGTGCCTGCACCATGCTAGTTCTACGTCAACATCTTGTGGCCAGGAGAGCCGACGCACACGTATTCATCCTATCATTTACGGTGCAGTAGAGCGCAGTGAGTAGCATGTCGCTGTCCGACTCCTGGAGTCATGTGTACTGCTGTAGGACGAGCAAACAAATCGGCAAGGCGATAGACTGAACACTTGCATGAATCCATTCTCGGTGAGTCTAAGTCTAAGCTCCAGTCTCTTTACCAGAAGGACACACTTGTGTTTCGCATTCGAACACCGTCCTCCTTGACTCATCGAGTCTGGAAACGCCGGTCTCGGCCTTCGACGCAACTCGCACGATTTGATGCGCACGAGTCGGAAGAAAAAACGCCGTAAACCAAGGGCCATCGCCAAGTTTGGTCCGTTTCGATCCGGTGTACGTTTGGCGCCGCATCTCACGCAATCACAACGCTCTCAAATTGTGCGGTTCGTGTGCCACAACTGCGTGCTGCATGTTTCCCTCAGCTGGGTACGCCCACGGGCCGGACGTAATCAACAAAGCTTTTCCCGTGCTTCTGCTGCCGGACGATAACCGGGTTCCGGGTCCAGCACTACGGCCGTCTGTTCACCCTCTCGGAGCCGAGACCCCGAACGGCAATCCCATAAGAGCGCACGGTGTCAAGGGGGGCAGAGCCCGGTGCATGTACAAGAGCAGTCCCGACGACTGCAAGGACCCGTGCGTCACATGCGACAAGTCGTGGAATTGCACATGATTGGGGCCGGCACGAAGAAGCACTTGTTCCGCGGCGACTTCGCCTACTGTTAAGGAATCGTGCTGCTAGCACGAAATAAATAGCATAGGATGTGGGATGCCAGGAGGCATACCCCATCATACAATCAGAATTGTCTGCTCTGCGTGCCCCCAAAGCTGAATGTTGGATCTGCACCTTCAGCTCAAACATTTTTTTAGCCAAAACAAAAAACTTTCCCCTTTCTGCACAGCCGTGGAGCAACCGCGTCAAGAGACCCTTACCTTTTCCTTTCCCAAGGATCTGCCTACTTGGTATGTAATTATCTAAGGACGGGTATCTCCTCGCTGCTGTTTGTTGTATTCCGAAAATAATCGGAGCGTTTAGACAATCAGGAACTTGTCCGGAAGATAACTCCTGCTCTCTGGGATTCAACTTTCGAATCCTGTGTGTCCTTAGTGCCTCCCGACCCATTGCGGGAAAACGTGGGAACCATTTGGTTTCCTCGGACGGACGCGATTCATGCCCGTGACCTCAGCGAACACCGTCGTGACTCTATTCTACAGCAGTTTGCACAACCTACAAACACACGTCATCGGCACGTTCTCGCCTCCACGGCAGCAGCAGCAGCAGCAGCAGCAGCAGCAGCAGCAGCGGAGAGCTGTGCCACCAACAATGCGTGGACCTGGAAAGGTGATATCGGTAGACTAGAGTGGAGGGTTCAAAATGCGAAACACCAGGGAAACAGGCTTTCATGTGTAGTCTATATCTGTGTAATTTACCGCATGTAGCAGCGCCCCCTTTTCGTCGTTTTTTCCGCGTTCGTGCACAACACTTGAGTCAAAGTCAAATACATATATTGCATGCTGTAGCTACACTCGTGATTTGTCGGGGGCCAAAATAGCTTCATACTGTACTTGTACACATAGACTAGTCTTCCCGCCGTATGCAATATGTAGTCTAGACTAGGTATGCAACATCTCACGAGACAAGAAAACAGACAAATGGTGTACAGAGTAGCAGAAACAGATGCTCGTTCACTCACGCGATGGTGGCATTCGTAAGCCTCGCCGAAGATAATGTCCTTGCCATTGCCAAGACCAGGAAAGACATCCGCAGTCTCATGGACATTGTCGGTCTTTGGAAGCAGAGCAATGAAGTGTTCAATTCAGAGAGTCATGAAGTCATGGGGCGGGGGGTCGCAAATAGGGACAAAAGATGGGTAGTGGACACATAGCCAGAGGTTGTGCCCCCCGCTCGCGCTTCCGGTTGCCCGGTCCATCGTGACGATCGTACTAGTACGTGCTTTCGCTGGTGGTGTCTCTCTACATCTCTCGTCTCTCTGCAAAACAGAGTTTAACCCTCCCTTTGTACCACGCGGGAAGTAGACTGTGCACCCACACGACAGAAATATTAACGAAGAGCCTTGCAGTAGAAACCGAAACCCCGCTCTTGGCGCGGCCGGCCAGCGAGGCGTTGGCACTGATCACAAGCCGCAGCTGCCGAGCGTGGAAGTGCCACCGCCGGAATAGTGCTTCCATGTACGACAGGCGAAGGGCCAACCGCCAGCTCAAGATCCGGCTACTCCAGGCTGAAGTGGTGGAGACTCTCCGGTGCGCCTCGTGGAGCCTAGCAGCGGAGCACTACACGAAGCTCAATGGGACCCACCGCCAGTTAACAGGTCCTTACACGGTGCATCGGCTGGAGCAAGCGGAAACGCTCAGACCGCCCCCTGTCCTATGCCCAGGCCCTCATCCAGGCAGGCTGCGAGGAAACCATCGAGGCCACCGTGCGCAAACGGAGACTGTGGTTCGCGGGCTTTGTTATGCGCATGGAGGACAGCCGCCTCTCCAAGCGCATGCTGTTAGGAGCGATGGCGGGGGGCGTGGGATACCGGGGCGGGCAGGAGAGCGACTGGGTGTCTCGTCTAGGAGAGGACCTCGTGGCCTTCTTCAACATGGGAGACGAAAAGGAAGGGGGTAAATGGAAAGAGAGCGCCAAGGACCCGGAGGTGTGGTACAACAAGGTCGAGGACGGGGCGGCATGGTTCATGAGGAAATGGCACAGGCAGGAGGCGGAAGCGTCCGCGAAGCGCCAGCGCGCGAGGGAAGCAGAAGCAGAGAGGACGGTCATCTCAGGACCGAAGAGAAAGAGAGTCGGGGAAGCGGCGGTGGGGGGGAAGAAACGGCGATTGGGCACTGCTGTAGAAGCGAGTAGGGCGGCCGAGGCAGCACTTGTGGTAAACTATGTACCCGGCTGATGTTGTTGCGCCCTGTTTCCCTTCCTGCTGTATGCAATACTCCTTTCATGTATGTCCCTTGTATTGCCTGCGGCCTCTGTGCTGTGTTTCTTTTTTTTATGACCTGCGTGCGTACTCTGCTGTGTTGGGTACCTTGATCTCACTTTTGCTGTTGCCTTTGTTTTTGTACGTCTGGCTATCTGCCCATCTGCCGCCTCTTTTTCCTGTTTGCTCCGTTACTCCCATGCCCTGGTGCGTAGTGCCTGGTGCTGGCACGTTAGTTACCCTTTGATTTTTTCTTGAGGCGGGTGTGGGAAGCGCCCTCCTTTATTTTTGGTTTATTTTGATCGGTTTCCGAGGGCTCTTTTCTCGAACGGTCGGTGCGATACCTGTTCTTTTCTTTCCATCATTTTGTTTTCTCTTTCCGGGTGATGTGTGATGTGCGAGTGTACCCTATTTTTGTTTTGATTCCCCGCGGCGTCGTGTGTGCCGAGTTTTGAGACCACGGGCTCCCCATTTTTTGTGGACTATAGTCTAGAGCTAATGTGAGAAACAACAACAACTGTATTTTGTAAGCAAACTATACTACACGAAAATAGGACGAGTGACATGCTCCATGTAGTCAACACCACCATTATATGCCTATATGCAGCATGCATATGGAGAAAATCTCCTCAACTGCATTGCGTACTGCTGTGGAGCCTGTCGACACAAGTTTTTGCCAGACAAAATGTTAGCTGGAGCAAGGGTGTACGAAAAAAATAATGATTGCACACCTAGGTACTCAATGGATGATTTTTCTTTGGGGGGGAGGGTACCAAGTGACCATCTCCCCCCCAGAACGCCACACAAAATCCAACATAAAAGGATACCATGCTATTCCTATAAAAAAGGGGCAACGTGTTCTCTATACGGGGACACAGTGCATCTGCGTGCCCCTTAGCCATGTGCGCCAAGCGCCAGCGCGCCAGTACGGGCCGCCCGTGGCATGCACGCTGTGTGTTGCGAACCAGCTAGGCATGAGGGAGAATATGATCAGCGCACCCTCAGGGGGGGGCGTCGGCCTACAGCCCAGGCGCCTTTCCAGCATGCAACAGCAGGATTGGCTGCAGCGACTGTGTACAAGGAGAAAGGAGGCACTGAAGGTCACGTGGATGGAGTGGGTTTGCTCCACCGCGCCAAAGACGGACCCGCGAAGTTCTGCCGTTGGAATAGGCCTGAAGACAGCGGGTAAAAGCTCCATCGCCACACCATGCACCAACGTGCCGCTGAGAACTGCATTTTTTGCCTTCCCGAGCGTTGGGAGGTTCAGGTGTGGAAGTACTCCATGCCCTACCACGTACAGGAGCAGCAGCACGGCGAGGAATCGCCCATGAGAGAGAAGGATGGATCCTGATACAGTGAGATTTAGAGCCAGCTACGACGTACGTACGCGAGCAAAGAGAAATCCGACGTGATGGGAAAGCTGAAGAAGGGTCCGGGGGCCAGGACGTCTGTCGCTGGTGCACGGCGCAAGACTAGTCAAACACGTTCTCGGCCCGCATAAGCAGTAACACCAGTATTCTAGACTCGAAGTCCAGCGAAGAGGGAGGGAGCAGTGAGGAACAGGGAGGGGGAGAGTACAGCGAGGAAGCGGGAGGGGGGCAGGGGGAGAGGGGGGAAGAGGAGGAGGACGAGGAGGGAGAGAGTGAGTAAGAGGAAGGAGAGGGTGAGGAAGAGGAGGAGGAGCGTGAGGAGGAAGAGGAGGAGGAGCAGGAGCAGGACAAGCAGGAGGAAAATGAAAATGAGCCAGATGTACGCTCCCGGGGCCGTAGACTTACTCCGGAACGGCGGTTTTCGGCGCTGGGGTACTTCAAAGTTTAAAGTGCGACTATCCATAATGACTGTTGGAACGGAACTCTACTGTGCAAAGATAGTTGGAAACTCCTACTATGTTCCGCGGTGTCCGTCGATCATCTTGCTTGGTTCTTTGTTCACGCGCGCAGAGGCGTGATGCTTTTCCGGGTGGATGTTGAGTTCAATGCACTTTGACTATTCGAGTGTAGGGTGTGGATGATGTGGAACTTTGTCGTGTACAGTTTCTCCACCAAAAACAACGCGTATCTTTCAGCTGCAGCGTCAGTACAGCGAGCAGTCAAACATAACACTGATAATGCGTACCAATGTTGAGGATNACACTATGCGTACCAATGTTAAGGATGCGGGCAACAAAAACAAGAGAAAAAATGAGGGAAAAGTATATGTTCTTAAATTTGGCCCTCCCGCGGGGGGGGGGGGTACCTAGGTGTGCGGGACAACTTTTCCCGCACACCCTTGGCTGGAGAACACTTATTTGATGCGCGGTAACTCTTTGCCCTCCATTCATACACAGACATCGCGCACACAAATGTGACGGTCACAGACTACGTACGTAGACTACCAAGACTAAGTCTGCATGTATGCAATGTCGCGAAGAGAGTAACCCTTCAGTACATCTTGTGCTCATTCACAGGCCGCTTCACGCCCAATGCCGGGGTGTGAAATAAATGTCGTCCGCCCTCGAAAACTCGACACGGAGGCCGGCACACGGGCCCGCCGCTTCAGACTTCAGGTCGAGGCTGCATTCCTTTTTTTAGGTCAAACAATCGGCCGATCATGTGCCCATTTTTTTTTTTTTTCGTGTCGCCAAATCTAAAAGCACACCAGATTTCTCACTCCTTGCGAATAATGCAACAGATACACAAGCATACCGCATGAGGCATCAACCCCAGCTTGGTGCGCCCCTGCTGAACTTCCTGACTCCCGAACTCCCTCGTCCTGTGGTTCGTCCCTAGCGCGAAGCCCCTACGCCCGCGGCTTTCACTTGTGCTTTGCTACTCGGACGGCATATTAGCTAGGAGGGGGGGGTACCACAGTAGTGAGGGGTGATTTTGTCACGTAGTATGGGCGGTCGCTGGTGATTAGTTTGTCGGAACGCTTCTGATGATGCGACCAAATTGAGCTGTGTTTCTTGTGGCACAACTTCACGTACAGCTGATTTTTGGCGTTCTTCTTTTCTTCCTCAAAAACCGTCGCCGCCGTTCGGTTTGTAAAACTACAACCTGATGGTGTCTGGGCATCACTTGTAACCTCACGCGCAACTGCACACACGCACCCACTGAGAATGGATTGTGTGACGACACTGCTGTGACGTCCCGATCGTTCTCGCGAAAAACGCGATCACAAGGGCGATAAATTTCTGGTGGTCTTCCTCCTGCGTGATCCTGGTGATTCGTCCGAATACGCCTAGAGGGTGGAAAACTGTGTCCAGAGTTGGACGAGGTACATAAAGATAAGTCAGGTCTCCCCTGCAGTCCTCCTGTCGACGAGGACTCCAGGCTACAAAAGAAAGTAGGATCCCTTCATTTTGTCTCGTTGCAAGCACACGCTTTCACGTATCTTCGTTGGTCGGTGTACTCTCGCGGTTCATGCCCGAATCTCAAGGCAGCACATCCACCGGCCCTATGGACTTGTATTCCGGTCACTCCGATGACTACGTGGCTTCCGGCCGCCAAGGCTTAGTCCCTGAAGGAGGTCTGAACCGTTACTTTCTTCGAGAATTTCTGTCTCCCTCTGGTCTCCCGTGAGGCCCTGCGCGCCCCCTTTTTGTGGCACCCGGTGTACCGTTCCGTCGAACGCTCTCCATCTCTGGCAGCGGCTGACGGTGGGGCCGGCCAAACCTGAAAGAGGTAGTGTCGAATGGGTGCGATTCAAGCGGCAGTCAGTATGACTGAGCTGTAGGCATCCTTCTCTTTCACTCGCAGACACGGGCGAGCGTATGACCCATTCTGGCGTGATCTTGTACCTTTTCCGAGTGTTGCATAGGGGGCTGGCGTATTGATGGTTGTAGAAATAACGCATGGTTGCTGTCTGATCTTCGAAAGAACTAAGTGCGACGCCTTCGAAAGGGGGAATGGTCGTGAGGCCCTGAGCCTCTGCTTTCGGCTGCAAGCTACCACATAGTCATCCGGGATACCCCGTAATATCATGCATCTACAGTAGTGGGAGGGTGATACTCCTGTACGTACAGAATACAAGCATGCATACCGACCCCGATCTGATCATTTGTTCAAAGCGAGCACTCTACCGTGCATGTGACTCTCCGAATGGCATGCGCTACTCAGTGATGATTAGCCGCGTCTTTGTGACGGTCTACACCTTGTATGGTCTGTGCCTCCTTTGCGACGACCCCAAAACGTATTGATGAGCTATTAACGATCTCTCCTCTTGCGACACTTTGACCGTATACCACTGCCTTACTCATGACCCACCCTTTCCGAACTGTCGTTTCCTCCCCACCTGAGACAGTGTCGGTGGTGGAAGTATAGGAACGACTCCTGCTTCTCCAGGCACTCGCGGGTTATGCAGGCCTTGCACACTTTGCTGGAGCATTCCATGCACCCAATCGTGGCCGTGAGATGTCCGCACACTACGCACTGTTGGGGGTCTTCCGGCGTCGGGTAGTGTGCGTCTCTCTTCTCTTTCGCTTGCTTCACCTCTGCAGGGAATTGTAATGTTTTCATCGGCAGGGAGTTTTGAGCCAGACACGTCTACCAAGGACATCGCGCGAATGTCAGACCTGTTTTTGGGAATACTTCTTCATGCAGTCCATAGGCTCCATCATCCAATAGCCTAGAGTGATCGGGACAGAGAAATTCATCACAAAAGCATATATCAATACTATTGTCGGTCGTTTCGCGTGGCGACGAAAAATACTTGAATACTTCTATATCACGACGGCGACAGGCAGCGTGCACCAAGAAACAGAAGGTGCTCCTGAGACCTTACCAACCCGGCAGTTGGTTCAACACGTGCGAGCTTTCAATAATGGTACGGCGTTGAAGGGGGGCCAAACCAGCAGTACCGTTACGTGCTTACGCTGACGTAAGGCATCAATCGCAGGAGTTTATGAACAGGCGCATGGCGAGATTTATCCGTCGCCTTACCGGGGAAACGCGTCTCCTCATATGCTTGCAGGGAGATGGTGCCGGCCAGGTAGAGAT